TGCATTGCAGGTGAATTCTTTACCTGAGCCACCAGGGGAGCCCTAGGACAGGCCATGGCTATGAATCAAACCATCATGGCCTGTCCTGCAGTCCAGTGGCAGAGACACATAATAAAGCAATAAAACAGAAAGATTCCTCTGGCTGCTGGATCCAAGAAAATCAAGAAAAAGGAGACATAGAGATTATCACAGCTGCCCGGAAATTAAAGATGATAGTGACTTGGATTTGAGCAGTGGATGTGGAGATAGGAAAAAAAAGAAGTGTATGTATGGATTGGGGTTATATTTTGGAGGCAGAAATGATCAGACACTTGCCAATAAATTAGACACAAGGGACGAGAGAGTAGATGAGAAGTCAGGGGTGATGTCTGCTTGGAACAGTTCTCTGGACAAGGGGCCACTTTCCAGACAGTCTTGTTCCATTCAGAAATAGAACCACACTCAGGATGAAGCTTGAGTCTTCTTGGGTGAAGACTTGGATGAAGGCAGACTCAAGATAGGAAGCTGGATGAGGTAATTGATACACAAGTAAAAAGGATCGAGAATTTAAAAAATATCGGGAGACTGGAAAGATAAAAGGTAATGAAAATAAGTGAAGACCCTTATACTTGACTTTTCAAAAAGTGCACAGGATGGAACCAGGAAGATTGGCCTAACAGCAGTTCCTACCAGAAACTCAATAAGAATGAGAAGTGTGACCTGCTTCCGTAAAAATGGAAACCAAAATAGGTCGCCTTGAAAGAAGCAGGGTGTACAACACAAATTAATAATCTTATTGTGCTTTGCACTTGCTGGACCAAAACTAATGTGAGACCATCATGCACACAGCCATTAAAAAGGATGGATGAACAGCTGAAAGTACTAGAGATGTTCAAGTCAACGAGTACCGTCTTAAAATGAGCACTGTAAAATGAACACCGTCAGATGGACTCTGAGTTGGAAGGGGGGTTAGATTTCAAGTAGATTCAAGTGGGTCTGGAGGGTAAAATAAGGACCCAGGATGAAAATCGCAGCACTGCTTTCAGCTCAGCCTCAATTCCAGTGTGCAGCACTTTGCAGAATCAGGATGCGTTGAACTTGTGTCTCCTGACAGAAGACCTGGCAGACCTAGATGCCTTTGTGCTGGCGCGGAGCAGAGAGGTTTCCCATCCTGGCTGAAAAGCTGGGCAGGGTAGTCTCTCAAGGTCTCTCCCGAGTCCAGGAGTCTAGAATTCTGTTTCCTAACCAGCCTCTTGGTTCTCAGGGGACACAAAATCTAGTGGGATGTCCCTGCACCGTGTTTACAAAGGGTCGCTGATGCCTGAGGGTTCTCAAAATTCCTAACCGCCTTCTTCACAAGACTGACCCCCCTCCACTGCTTCCCCAGGGCCTGTGTGCAGTCATGTTCTAGATCCCCTCCTCTTCCAGGCTGAACGTCAGTCTGGACTATTCATACCTTGCCAACTGCCTGGGACTGAGGTTTGCTTCCTATTGAAACAGGCCTTTTTCAGTGAGCAGCTTTTGCCCCAGCCATATGAAAACTTTTGGTCAGTGTTTAGCAATGGGAAGGGTTTCCCAGGTGGCGCAATGGTAAAGAATCCCCCTGCGGGCTCAGGAGATGCAAAGAAATGCGGGTTCAATCCCTGCGTCGGAAAGATTCCCTGGAGTAGGAAATGGCAACCCATTCCAGTATTCTTGCCTGGAAAACTCCATGGACAGAGGAGCCTGGTGGACTCTAGTCCACAGGGTCTCAAATAGTTGAACAGGACTGAGCACCTGAGCATGCACACGCATAGCAGCATGAAAGCTTATATGACACCCAGATGAAATGAAAAAAATCAATCACTTCTGTTCCTCTTAGTTCAGGAACACCAGCTTATGTTTCTCCTCCAGGAAACCAAACTATGTGTCCAGATGTTTATTTGGACAAATAGGGGACAGGTGAAGTCACTCAGTTGTGTCCGACTCTTTGCAACCCCATGGACCAGAGTCTACCAGGCTCCTCCATCCATGGAATTTCCCAGGCAGGAGTACTGGAGTGGGTTGCCATCTCCTTCTCCAGGGGATCTTCCTAACCCAGGGATTGAACCCAGGTCTCCCACATTACAGGCAGATGCTTTACTGACTGAGCCCCCAGGGAAGCCCAAATAGGGGCATAGATATGCTCAAAATAAATGTTCAAATAAGTCATCTTTGTATCTCAAGTCATTCTTCCTGCTCTTTCTTTTAGTCGCCAGCTCCCACTGGAGCCTCTTAAACTATTCTGGGATCTATGATAACTAATTAGATACCTTATCACTTCTTCTAAGAATCTAAATAAGGAGGTGAATTTTTCTAAGTTTTAATCCCATTAGTGCTAGATTCTGTTACAGGCTAAAGCAGTCTTAGAATTTTAATATATACAGAAGTTGCCTCTTAGTGACAGCTTAGAAAAAGCTTTTTGCTCTATATTAGCTTTCAGTCTTGGAAGGGAAGGTGTATACGTTGGAAGGGATGGAGAAAAGGGTCTTCAGGGATTGGCTGTCAGACTTACTATGCGGTCATTTGGTTGGGGTTGTGGCCTGATGGTTCTCAGATATGGGAGCAAGGGGCTTGTTGTCATCACTGTGGAAATGACGTCAGTTTGCCAGTGTTAAGTGTGGGGAAGAAGATGGCTGTGTTTCCTGCTGAAATCTTCCCTGATCAGCCCTTTTCTCCCACTTGGAAAAGAAAAGGAAGCAATATGCATGCGTGCGTGCTGAGTCACTTCAGTGGTTGTTGACTCTTTATGACCCTGTGGACTGTAGCCCACCAGGCCCCTCTGTCCGTGGGATTTCCCAGGCAAGAATACTAGAGTGGGTTGCCATTTCCTTCTCCAGGGGATCTTCCCAACCCAGGGATCGAACCAAAGTCTCTTGCATCTCCTACACTGGAAGACGGGTTCTTTACCATTGGTACCACCAGGGAAGCCCTGATACAAGTGCATCATCTCTGAAGAAAGTCCACCCAAAAGAAAGGCAAAGAGGCAGCTGGTAGAGAACACCACGTGGTCCTGGGGTTATTAGCTGGGGGAACAGATGTTTCCTTTGAATCTTTCTTTTGCTACTGAAGACCCAGTTCTCCTCAGCTGAGGGCCTTTGGTTAACCATTAGGTAGACATTTGTAATTATCCCTCCTACAAGGTACATATTTTGAAAGGTCATGCTCTTTACTCAATAGCTCGGGGCCAGTGGTAACATGCACTCTTCTCCCCAGCTCAGTCCCCATGAGAGTCAATTGAGCAGAGGACAGAGTCACTCCAGAAGAGCACATGGCTAATCCTCAAATTCTGCCCACTCAGCTCCCAGTTGGGAAGCTCAAGCTCTCTCTGCCACACAGAAATAAATCCTCTGTGGCCTGGCTCAGGCACGTGTGGAAATTGCCGTTTAGGGTTCAGTGTCACCGTGAGTGAACTCTGAGTGAAACTCAAGGCCTGCTTCCTCAACATAAATATTGTCTTCCAAGATGAAACAAAGATCATAGCACAGTTGTGTCCTGGGTCTTACTCTGTGGCATATCAAGTCATGTTCACTGCTTATCTCAAAGCTGCTCCATTGCTTAATAAATGCTTGCTGTCAGCTTTTCATGTCCCTCAACCAGAATAAGTAATAAGGGACCTACCCTCTTATTCACCCTCTTACTCCGAGATCTGAGTCAGTACATATCCAGATGCACTTCTTTACAGTCATATATAAATTTCCCTTTATTAGCTGGTCAGTTGTACCTTCACCCAAAGGGTTAGGTTTTCTGATCTTTCTCCCAGTATTTGTTTTACCTCTGCCGAGCCCTGTCACTCTTTCATGTTTTCTGGCCAGTCTCTGGCTGTTCATCTTCTCTGCCCTTGACTGTCTTTGCCCCCTCATTTATCTCCCCATGGTTGAAACATGGGCAAAACAAAATGCTGCAAGACAGGGGAAAGCTCAGAAGCTGTCTTTCTGCCTGGGGCAAGGGCAGGCACCTGAGGAGATGACAACTGAGCAGGGGTCAGCAGGTGTGCGGGATGTGGGGCGGTCTGGGAAGAGGCCCTTGCAGAGAGAACTGCACAAGATGCCCAGCACTGCCCAACAGTACTTGCCAGAAAAATAATTGCCTTAATTACTCAGACATGGAATCAGTTGCACGAATGCGTCATTTCCGGGACATTTGTCCCAACATCAGGAAGTGAGTGGTTTCATCTCGGAGACTGGAATTTTGTTCTTGTTAATAAATAAGCTTTATTTGCAATTCTTATGTCTGTTTTAACCAAATGATTCTGAAATCTATGTCATCTCCCACATCATTTTTAACTGTGCTTTTTCTTGAGGAAGGTTTGGCAATGAGCCAGATGTACTAAAACAAAGACATGGGTTCATCATTCAACAAAGTCTTTTCATTACAGTTGATTGTCAGAATTTTCCCATCCATTAAAGGAGGTTCTTTTAAGAGACACTGGGAGCAAAAAAAAACAGTGAATTATCTCAGTGGTTTAATTTATAGATTCAAAAATAGCCATAGAGTAATTAGATGGAAAGAACCCTAGACACCATTTGCGTTTATATTATAAGCAAGGAATGTAGGAATGGGAGACCTCAACTCAAGCAAGGTGTCCAAAGTCATGTCATTGACCTAAAGGTCGCTTCATGCCTTCCTCTCTCACCCCCCCACCCCTCCCTTCTCACACTTCCTGTCTCAGATATCACAGAAAGTGTACCATAGACCACAAAAGCTTTCCTTCACAATGTTGTTTTAAAAGTCACCTCCATTGAAATGATCCCAGAGTGCCATTTATATTTAAGCTCAGAATTAACGTAAAAGATTTGAATTCTTGGAGTTACAGTCCAATGAGCAGTTCTTTTACTTGGTAGAACATTTTTATTAAAGATGTTAAGGAGGGTGTGACTAATAGGTTCCAGTATTTGGATCCTATCAGTGAATAGTGTTAACCTATAAATCAGCCTTGACCTTTCTACCGTTTAAGGTCAGAGTCTTTATAGTTATCATAAAACTTATTTTCTTTGCTTTAGGGTACTCTTGACTTCAGTAACACTGCTGTCTATATATTCAATCAATCTGCTGTTGATCTGTTCAAAGGAAACAGGTAAGCTGTTTGTAAAGCCAGAATGATAAATTCTCACAATTCTCAAAATTGTCACAGTGACATTTTGAACAAATGATACTCTCCCTGTTCAACAACTTGTTTATTAAAGAAAAACAGTGCTTCGACCTGTTGTCGCTGGAAGACCTATAGTGGTATTTACTTATTTACTTAGAGTAGATACAGGAATATATAAATGCACTTGTTATGAATAGTAAGCAAATAACATTGAAATTTATTTATTTATTTATTTTTTTAACATTGAAATTTAAAGAGAACCCTCAAATATACTTGCTCTTCTAGTTTAAGATGACTTCATTTAAAGACCTTGGTTTTTCCTTAAGTATTTATAAATTCAGACCAAGGATCCCATGCTTTTATATTATAGGCTCCAAGGTTTTAAGAATAAACAGAGCTTTCATTCTCTTTTGTGCATATTCCAAGGAGAAAATGTGACTCCCAAGCAATGTGGGCGTCAGTGTGCTGTGAAAAGACTTCAAGTTCTCTGGGCAGTGTTATACCTGAAGTGTTTATTTTCTATTCCTGGGACACTGGATTATGTTTGTAATACTTTGACTTTTACGTTAGCTAAAAACCACATTGGCCAACCATTACTGTATATAGATGACTCCATTTAACTGGAACATTTTGTAATAAACTGTGGATCTAACCATTGTCTAGTTTAAACATCAGTCTTATGAAAGAATAAACAAAAGTTTAATTATAGTCTAACCCAATTTCTTTCTGTGAACCTTTTGAAAAATGTGAGCTGAACTGTTACAAAGAAACATAAACCCATTTTTTAAATGAATGGTTTAACATTTTAGTATTTGTTGAGATGAGCCGGTTGAAGACTTTAGAATTTTGCTATAGCCAATTTATTCTCTCGAAAGAGTTATCTGCTACTCTCTTTTGTGAGTGTCAAATCTCTGAAATAAAGATCAAAATTCTAATGTTGTGGTTATTACATGTTTTTTTTATGTTATTATATTTAGAACCCACAAAGCATTGTTGGAATATTATTATTCCTTGTTAGCCTCATCAGTTCAGGTAATTCATTCAAAAGGAACCTTTCTTCCCAGCCATCAGAGTTTTTATTTTTAAATCAAATTTTTATTTTAATGATATACACCAGACATGAGAATAAAATTTGAGTAGGAATTTCCCCCCAGTAAAGTAGGGAGATTTTTGAGACAATTAAAATAAAAATAAGGCTTATGACCTAATCATTTACTTGTAATGCTTTTGTAGCCAACCTGAAAAAAAAGTGGTGGTCATATCTGACATTTTAAAAAGAAGTTGAAAAAAAAAAGTCAACAAGTTGTTTTTGTTTTGTACTAAGAATGCCTTAATCTTTGCAAAGCCAAGAAGACTATGTATATGATTTTTGATAAAGACACAGTAACTTGGGGAATAGTCAATAGAATGGTGAAGTCTTGGCTATTTTTAATGTAGGAAACTCATCATTTTTTCTGTTCTCAACTATGGTTTTTTAAACAGGCTGCATGGTTTATGAAAAGCTGGGAGAACAGGTCTTTGGCACCACAGGGAAACTTGTCATCTTTGGAGCCACCTCCCTACAGAACACTGGAGGTAAAAAGATTGTTTTTTCTATACATTAAAGTTGTGAATGTTATTGCTATTTTTTCTAATCTCAGTGGTTGGGTGGCCACATGAATTTTAACACAATTCAAGCAGTATCATTCTCATTGCTAAAACTGTGCAATGAAAGTGAAGCAGAGACAATAGTCACTTACAACCACTTACACTTACAACCAGGGGTACTTGGACAGTGTCTGCAGCCACCTTTATGTCCTACTGAAGGTTGGTCTAGAGACAGTCTGGTCACCTTTTGTATAGCTTGCAACATGAGCCTCAGTATCTTCTTTCTAAAAATGTTCTCATTTTCTTCTAGCAATGCTGAGCTACCTCTTCATAGTAAAAAATGAGCTACCTTCTGCCATAAAGTTTCTAATGGGAAAGGAAGAGGAATTTTCGTAAGTTATAGACTATTGTTTAAAAGATAACTAAAATGTTTTTAATTGAAATGTGGGCTAGTAACCTAAGTTTTTGTTTTATGAAGACTGCAGAAACAGAATTTTTCCTAGGCTGTTTTTTCTTGGTTTGTTGTTTCTGGGGATATATTAATGAAGGAAGCAAGGAGAACCGTTTGAATCTGAGCTTTTAAAAGATAGATTCATCGGCCGTGCTATAGACGCTAAGTCCTGCAAGTTTCCAAGAGCTTGAAATCAACATCTATTTTCTGTGAAATAGAGCAGATATGGAGTATTTTTAACGCTGAAATGGAACATGCAAAATTAAGACCCAGACTCTTCCTTAAAGAAGAGACAGAACATTTTGGGAGCAGAATTGACATGAGCCAACCTCATTAAAGATGCAGCTAGCCTTGGGAAATGTTGCCTCTGCATTCGGCACACTGTTATGTTTTGTCTGCCTCTTGTTCAGCAGTTCTTGTCAGTCTTAGTTCCTCTGTCTTTCAAGGGAGAATTGTAGAAGCCAGGGTTCCTAGTGTTCTAGCATCAGGATTCAAGGTCAAATACAAGCGATTAGGGAGAAAGCAATGCTTAGCTGTGGTGACTTATTTTTTGACAATATTCACCAAGCCAAGCAAAAACGAACTTTCTCTTTAAATAATTGATAAAGACAAGTTGTAATCTGACAGAATGTAATGTGTGCATTCAGCTTTGAAATCATATAAATAATTCAGAGGGATGGCACGCTTAGCCAGTCGGGGAGAGCAGAGGAAAAGCAATATCTCTCCCTCAGTCACAGGGAAAGAGAGATGATAGTAAATGACTAGTGGTTGGCTTTATACAGAGCGAAGTAAGCCAGAAAGATAAAGGCCATTACTGTATACTAACACATATATATGGAATTTAGAAAGATGGTAACGATAACCCTATATGCAAAACAGAAAAAGAGACTCAGATGTATAGAACAGACTTGTGGACTCTGGGAGAAGGCGAGGGTGGGATGTTTCAAGAGAACAGCATCGAAACATGTATATTATCTAGGGTGAAACAGATCACCAGCCCAGGTTGGGTGCATGAGACAAGTGCTCGGGCCTGGTGCACTGGGAAGACCCAGAGGGATCAGGTGGAGAGGGAGGTGGGAGGGGGGACCGGGATGGGGAATACATGTAAATCCATGGCTAATTCATTTCAATGTATGACAAAAACCACTGCAATGATGTAAAGTAATTAGCCTCCAACTAATAAAAATAAATGGAAAAAAAAATTGAATAATAATTACAATTAATGGTAAACATTAGTAATAATAAAATTTTTTTTAAAATATTGTGAAATTTTACACATGAGAGAAAAAGTCACTCTCTAAGAAGATGTCTATCTGCTTAAATGCCTTTCAGAGCCTGGTACGTGGATGGCCGCTTTCTGGTGGTGGTAGTTACCTTTGGCATAATTCTCCCTCTGTGTCTCTTGAAGAACTTAGGTAAGATCTTGCTTTTATCACAGTCTCTACAGCACTCAGATGAATCAGAAACCTGATAAAAACAAACAACTTTGCTCCCTACTTTGACTTGCAGGGTAAAGATTGAGTAAAAAATTATAAGTGTTAATGAGGCACGACTTTAATAGGGGATAAAAACACTGGCTCGTATGTGACTTTGTAAGCAGTCCCTCTACTAAACCGTGGCGGGGTAAAGGAGGTCCTGGGGCCAGCAGCAGAAAATGCTGTCTAAAAGCCCAAAGTCCAAAAAATGGAATTCTCTCTCATAGAAGGTCTTACACACTCTGATTGTTTAGATGGACAGAATTTCACATCTAATACAGACAGAAAGTGGCTTATATTTTTACCCAGAGGAGAAGGGGACGACAGAGGACAAGATGGGTGTATGGCATCACCAACTCAATGGACATGAGTTTGAGCAAGCTCCAGGAGATGGTGACGGACAGGGAAGTCTGGCAGTCCATAGGGTCCCAAAGAGTCAGACATGACTGAGTGCACAGACAAAAATTATATTATGAATCAGTCTTAAATGATCAGAGTCTAACCAGCCTCAATGATTTGCCTCACTGAAGGGAGAGAGAGAAATGAAAAGTGGTAGATAATCACTAAGCCGTATCCACTTGGTTTTAACATTTTTGCATGTGTGCTTATATTTGGAGACAAGAATCCCTGATGTTATGAAAATTTCATGTGTGAAATAATGCACCCAGACCTCTATCCAGTCCAGTGCCTCTGAAATGCATTTCCTTATAATTCTGGGCTCCTTCGAGGGAGACATTTCAAGTTCTTACCACACCTCTGTAGCTGTTCTGTTAGACCTATAAGTAGATTTTTTTTTTTTAAAGCTACTTAATTTTCTGGTTTCTGAGTCTGTGTTTAAGCTTTTCTGTGTACATATAGCTCTTTTTAGTGCTAGTGGAGAAGGACTCTTCTCCCCCAGAGGTGAGAACCGTGCAGCCCCCAGAGACCACTTAACTCTGCCTTTCTGGAGCTTACGGTGCTCAGAGATCTCCCAGGCTTTCTAAGGAGAATGAGGTCGAGTGCCTCGGGTGCTCAGTTTATCCCTAGAAATCACTTCCTCTCCTCTGTGCATATTCAGTATGTACACAATAAGTACATAGTCAAGAACTATTGAATGGATCAAGGAGTAAATGGATTTGGCTATAGGAATTCATTAGAATACAGCAGCAGAGACTTATAGGCAAATTTGGGAGGCTCTTTTCCCCTGGATTCTGGAAATCTGCATTCTCTAGTGTGTCAGGCAGAACTAGAATCAGAGCACATACTACTGTATTGTTTTAATTTAAAGTCACCATTTTTTGCCAAATAAGATAGCCCTATCAAATAGAAAATCTTATATTCATATTAGCACATATGGATGTTATTGGAACCGCAAACTGGGCTTGAAATAATGCATTGAAAGAGGTGGTGGATAAAATAATAATAATGATTCTCTAAATTCTTTTTAGGTTATCTTGGCTATACTAGTGGATTTTCCTTGAGCTGTATGGTTTTTTTCCTAATTGTGGTAAGTCCTGGTTGAAATGGTTGGCCTGGTTTTGCCATAGTATGATGCTGTGTAACAGTTATGCATTATTGGGCTTTATTTGATAAAGTTTGATTGTTTCTCCTTTATTTTTTTTTAATGCCAGGTTATCTACAAGAAATTTCAAATTCCCTGTTTAGTTCCAGAGCTAAATTCAACAAGTCCTAATTCAACAAATGCAGACATGTGTACACCAAAATATGTTACCTTCAATTCAAAGGTAAGTTTCTTGTCCTTCAGATATAAAAATTGGAGTGTTTTTACAAAGGAAATTGTTTCTTAAACTTGTTTTAATTAAACTGTCTCTGATGCATTTGTTCTCAAAGGAACAGGGTACCACAGGTTTCAAATGCCACAGTCCATTTAATGACCTTGAAGAAATACATAAATCATGTGTTTCATGCTCCCTTTTACTCGGTTTAATGTAGGACAACCTAAAGTATTCTCTGTGAAAACCTCTTTCTGCACAATTATCTCAGCTCTATTTCTTATAGCTCTTTAAAAACAGATTAATAACATCCTTAGCCCACTGCTTCTTCTTTTCTTAAAATTAATTTTTTAATAGGAGGATAATTCCTTTACAAAGTTGTGTGGGTTTCTGCCGTACAACTTGAATCAGTCCTGACTATATTCATACCCACTTCTTTGAGCCTCCCTCCCACCCATCCCCATCCCACAGCTCACTGCTTCTGTCTCGTGGTGGCAGAAAGGAATACCTCAAACTTCCCCAGCTTGTACAGTTGAAATATAGACCCTACCACAAATTGGCACTTAAGGAACATTCATACAACATATTGGGGAAGGGTGGACTATGGAAACAGTCAGGCTTGGATTTGAATCCTCAGGCAAATTGTCAGCCCCATTTGTAAAATGATGATTCTATTGTGTATCTTACAGGATTTCTTAGAATGTGCCTGATAACTTTGCTTGGGCAAGATTACGGCATGAGAAATGTTACTTTTCCCTTCTCTGCCAGCTTCTTTTTGCATAAGAAATTACTATATTGAATTACCTTTTTCTAAGAAGCCAATTTAGATTGATCTCTCACCTGTTCTCTTTCAACTCTTAAAGGTACACCAAAGGAGTGAAGTAGTTTTCTTCTAAGAAAGTCATTTTCTTTTGAGATGCCATATTTAAGTCTGACTGATGCACCCTGTTACAAACACAGAGCAGTGAGATGAAGGTGCATGTTCTGGCTGTGCTGCCTGCCTGTCTTGGAGGGAGCCAGGAGAACAGCGCTGGTCTGTCTCAGGATTGTGGGTGGGGACTCAGTGAAATAACAGAGGAAAGTGCTAGTAACTAGCTAGTGCCACATAAATACAGGTGACGCAATGCCTGGAGGATGTAAAATACTCTGTAGTTGAGCCTGGCTGTAAAACCCCTCTCTGCCAAGTGTCTGATGTCTCAAGCTAGATAAGCTGTCTTAGAAAAGCTGCTCCTATTTTAGATATCAAAGCTCCCCTAATAACCAAATAATCCAAGGATTCTGAAGGGCTGTCAGATAAGAAGACAGCTCAGAAATACTGGGGCTCTACAGTTTTTATGGTAAAAATGCCTTTCCGTAACGTTTATTTTTTCCTCTCAAATAGACCGTGTACGCTCTACCAACAATCGCATTTGCTTTCGTCTGCCACCCATCGGTCCTGCCAATTTACAGTGAGCTTAAAGAGTAAGAGATTTGTTTTAACTTTTTTTTTTGCAAACTGAATCATTTTACAGCCCCTCATTAATAGGCAAGTGCTGTATCAAAATAAATGGACTCATATCATGAACTTCCTCAGCCCAGCTTCAACCTTTACTTTGTCATTCTTGAGCAAGACACAAACGTGCATTATACATACATGGCCATATATTTTGGCCATAAATGTATAAAAAGCATTTATTATGTGGGCTTTTTCTTATTAATTTGGTTTTTCAAATACTATGTTACTCAAGAGAGTTCAGGTGTTTGCGTTGCTTTATATTACTTGTGATTAGTTTGCAAATGAATAATGGTAATCTTCAGATTCATCTGTGAGCCACTGAATACATTGAATGTGATTTGCCTTTTGGTTTAGTTGGAAAAGGCTGGTAAACCAGGCATGAAGAAATGAATGTTAAGACCACACCCTGAACAGAAGAATATTGTTGTTCATTTTAAACTATTACAGTGATTATGGATTTGTTTTTGATTGCTCTGCTAAAGAAAACAAAAGGACTGCTTATGAATTCCCTCATGGGTTCTCTTCTTAGCCTACTATTATCAGACTTTCTACATAAAAATATTTGTCATGCCATAGTCACTTTTTTTGAGATAACTGGTTTATAACTTTTATAGGTTTCATGTGTACAACCTAATATTTCTACTGCCATCCACACTATGTCCTGCTCACAGAAATATAGTTTCATCCATCACCACACAATGGATCTCCTCTACCCATCTTGTCCTCCCTCTTCCCCTTCCCTGCTGGTAACCATTACTCTATTCTCTGGAGCTACATCCTTGTAAATTTATTCCTAGATGTTTTATTCTTTTTGTTGCACTTGTAAATGGATTGTTTTCTTAATTTCTCTTTCTGTTATCTCATTGTTAGCATATAGAAACATTGCAGATTTTTGTATGATTTTGTACTTTGCAGCTTTACTATACTTGTTTATTGTCTCTAATTGTTTTTTTGGTGGAGTCTTCAGGGTTTTCAGTGTATAAAATGATGTCACCTGCAAATAGTGACAGTTTTACTTTGTTCTTTCCAATTTGGATGCTTTTTTTTTTTCTTCCCTAATTGCTCTGGCTAGGACTTCTCTTATTAGGTTGAATAAGAGTGGGTATCCTTGTCCTCTTCCTCATTTTAGAGGGAAAACTTATTTTTCATTGTTTAGAGTGATGTTTGCTGTGGGTTTGTCATTGCTAATATTTTGTTGAGGACTTCTGCATCTATATTCATTGGAGATATTAGCCAGAAATTTTCCTTTTTTGTGCTTTTTTTCTGGTTTTGGTATCACAAAGATGCTGACCTCATGACATGTTACGAACCATTCCCTCCTCTTCAAATTTTTGGAAGAGTTTGAGAAGGATGGGTATTAAATCTTTGAATGTTTGGTAGAATTCACCAGTGAAGCCCTCTGGTCCTGGACTTCTGTTTTTCTGGAGGTTTTTGATGACTGCTTCAGTCTCTGTACTAGTGATGGGTCTATTCGTATTTTCTGTCTCTTCATGATTCAGTCTTGAAAGCTTATATGATTCTCAGCATTTGTCCATTTCTTCTAGGTTGTCCAGTGTGTTGGCATATGACTTTCATAATGCTCCTTGGTGGTCCCTTTTATTTCTATGATGTCTATTGCTACTTTACTCTCTTCTATTTCTGATTTTATTTATCAGGGCCTTCTGTCTTTTTTTCTTTGTAAGCCTAGCTAAAGGTTTGTCAATTTTGTTTATCTTTTCAAAGAATCAGTTCTTAAGTTTCATTTATTCTTTTATTGTCCTTTTAGTTTCTATTTCATTTATTTCCACTCAGTTTTATTTCCTTTTTTATACTGACTTTGGACTTTGTTCTTCTTTTTCTAGTTTCTGTAGGTGTCAGGGTAGATTGTGTGAGATTTTTCTTGTTTCTTGAAATAGGCATCATGGCATAGTCTTAAGCTCAGAAAAGATATACAGTATAGTTATCTATTTCCATTTTGAAAGAAAGGTGATGTTATTCAGGATTGAATTCACTCATGATTGTTCTTTCACTTTAAATTGATTTATCACTAAGTTTTGAAGGATTTACATCTACCTGTCTATGCATACATTACTCCTACTTTATGATCTTATATTTAAGGTATTTAAACATAAGATAATTAAACAAAAGATGTCTCTGGCATCTTTTAAACTTAATAGTTCTGCGTTTAGTTTCAAGCTTTCTTATGTGGGTACTTCTCAATTTGTCTGTTTTCCATACTTCCTGTTATGACACAGTCAAATGTCATGCTTCTTGGTGGCGTACTCTTGAGTACAAGTCTTGGAGATTAATTGTTTAGGCAGCTAAAGAAACTTAGAGGTTCATGCAAACTCCTAGGATAAAGTTGACCTGAGAGAAAGAGAGAACCTTTCATTATCCCAGCTGTGGGTTCTTGGGCACTCACCGCTGTGGAGACATACAGGCTTCCCTGAGGCTGTGTGAGTACCTGCGTGCTTAGTCTGACTCCTTGCGTCCCCGTGGACTGCAGTCTGCCAGGCTCCTCTGTCTATGGGATTTTCCAGACAAGCATACTGGAGCGGTTGGCCATGCCCTCCTCCAGGGGATCTTCCCGACTCAGGGATGGAACCAGTATCTCCTGCATTGCAGGTGAATTCTTTACCCACTGAGCCACCTGGGAAACCCTCCCTGAGGCTATTCGATGGGAGAATCAGACCTTAAATAGCAGCTTTAGTGACAAAACTCCCAAGGTTAAATTCTAGCTCAGCGCCTGATCTCTGGAGTCAGGAGAATAGCATTGGAACTTATTCTGCCCTTTTCCTGTGCATCCTAAGTGTGGAGATAGTATCAAACAAATGTTAAAAAAAATAGTCTCTGCCCTTCAGATGAGAACTCAATGTCTTTCAAAAGAATGGGGAAGAGCATTCAAGGGGTTGTTTGTCCCATGGCTCTTTCTCTCTCAATACCCAATCAGTGTAAAGAAAGTTATTGGAAACTGGTATATTTGCTATAATTACTGGGGGTAATTACAGCAGGTCAAGTCAGCCCAAGCCTGATAGAAAGAAAGTCAAGTTCCATTCTTCAGGGTTAATATTTGTGCTTACATTCAATAATATGGTTTTTAATTTTTCAAATTTCTTTTTCTTTGTTTCTAGTCGATCACAGAAAAAGATGCAGATGGTTTCAAATATCTCCTTTTTCGCCATGTTTGTTATGTATTTCTTGACCGCCATTTTTGGCTACTTGACATTCTATGGTAAGTACCTTCTGTCAGTACCTAAATATAAGTATTAGTAAGTAAATTAGTAAAAATCAATATCAAAATATGTACTGATATTTCAATGTGATAACCCCCAAAAGCAACAAATCTATCCATTGATTTTACTGATCTTCTCTTCTGCTTAAAGCAAATGGCTGTGGTTCCTTTACACATTCATGCTGACTATGCAATAGAATAATTACTGAAACAATATACCATAATTTTTTCTCCTAATACTGTCCTTAAAAAAAATGCATTTTATAAGCATGTCACTTTTACTAAGGAAGGTTTAGAACTATATCAGAGAAGGCTTTCCTAATTGCTGTTGTGAACTGGGTAATTTTCCATTAATAGAAAAGAGAGACAGAGACAGATTTTGAAAGTGAGAAAGAGTAGAGTGCTACACTCATGACACTGTGCATTAATTAATAATAAAACACCTGATTGTTCAGCGGCAGGTGGAGCTTTGCTTCAATATGAAGCAATGACAGAGTTAAATGAAATCTGAAAAAGAACAAAGTTTCATTTGTAACTTTTATTGACCCTATATAAATAGTCTGCCTTACTGCTTCTTCATCCTCTCCTATTCCAGTCATCCTGCAATTTTATTCAACATCTTTCATTATATTACAGTTTGGGACCTGGTTTAAATTTGAATACATACATTTCACATTACATTCTCTATTAAATCACATTTCTTGGGGGCACTTTTTTCCATAAACACGAATGTCTCAAAATTTAAACACATTTGAGATGATTAACTCAGCCTGGAAAGGCTTCCCTGATTATACGGTTGTATTATTACTATTACCACAAGCCTCACAGCTTGTGGGACCGTAGTTTTGTAGTGAAAGCACTGAGTCCTAACCACTGGACCTCCAGGGAATTCCCTAATTACCATGTTCACAAGCAATGGAGAAGAGCATTGTCTAATGAATCCATAAATACCACTTTTAATTTCTGCATAAAGATGGTGTTCTCAAGTTTCCTGCAGAGTTGCAAGGCTTGGGGGTGGATAAAGGGAGGGAAAGAGAGAGAGAGCCTAGTATTAGTTGACTGGTCTCACTGTTGCCTTGTTCAAGCTATGATTTTTTCCAACAAATCTGTTTTATTCCCCCACATAGAATAGAATACCAAAGCCTTTCAATACTCTTAGGTCAAAGGAAAAAAGCTCAGCTAATTTTAGATGGTTATGAATTTTGAATCAAGGAAATTAGAACTAAGGAGATTTTTATTCTAATCTAGGATCCTTTTTCTAAAATTGAGACCTGTCTCTGGCCCAGACTGTTAAATGGAACTGGAATTCCACACCCTGAACCTTGAGATGGGAAGGAAACGATCTCTTGTCAAAGGAGTGGATTTTTGAGTTGAAGACAAAATGGCAGAGTAGAAGGACTTTGAGCTTAGCTCCTCTCCAGAGCACATCCAAATTACAACTAACTGCTGTACAGTCATCGATTAAAAAAAGACAGGAGTCTTTGGCAGGAGTCCTCGATGGTCCAGTGGCTAAGACTCCACACTCCCAATGCAGGGGGCCTGGGTTTGATCCCTGGTCTGAGAACTAAGGCCCACATGCCACAACTGCAGATTCTACACACAGCAACTAAGACTTGACGTAGCCAAATAAATAAATAAAAATAGATATTTTTAAAAACAGCAATTATTCTTTAAAAAAAGGCAGGAGTAAGCTTTTTCTTGCTCAGTGACTGCCTTTCTAGCTTTGATTATCTTTGAAATGACACTTTCTGAAGTTCAGTGTTAGGAAAAAGTTCAAAGTGGTACATAAGCTTTATGAGGAAAACATATCTGGAAGAGAAGAATGAGTTCCTTGCAGCAGTGAAGTTCCATGGGCACTTCTGCTTGGATGTTGAGTGATAACAGAAGACTTTGAAAGAGGCTCCAGGTGGCCTGCAGCCCACTCAGTGAGACTGAGGCCGGTGGGCATTGCTGGATGAATGGCACCAAATTGAGGAGAATCTAGATGAAGAAGGGCTTTGTGTTTCAACCGTATGGTATTTCTAACCTCAGCTCACTCCTGAGTTTAGTTTAGTGTCAGTGAAGCTCCCCACTCTGTGTAATTTCTGTTGATTACTCTTACACTCCTTTTTGCTGCAGGTATGGACAGGTGGGGCACGTCTCATATGAGGGATTTTGCTCTTCAACTTTATAAATGGTTGAATAGACACTTCAGCTCCCAGAACATTGCTTTCCTTGTCGCCTTTAGTTTACAGATCTTCTGTGGTTCAGAAAACCCCTCACTCCATGATAATTCTTTGTCTTGTCTTAATGCCCTTTCACATTCCGCCTCGTTTTAGAAAGCGTGCAGCCCGACCTCCTCCACAAGTATCAGAGTAAGGACGACATCCTTATCCTGACGGTACGGCTGGCAGTCATTGTGGCCGTCATCCTCACGGTGCCCGTGTTATTTTTCACGGTGAGTAAAAGGCCTCAGTGCAACCTGAGAAAAGCCGAGGGCTCCTCTTCCCTGCTGCCTTCAGGAGCCACTTGCAGAACAAGGCTGCTGTGGGAAACTCCTGCATCATTGAAACTGCCTCAGGGAAGGATCTCAAGGGTCTTTGGAAAGAAAGTGGGATCAGTGAGTTAGAGTAGCCTTCTGACAGATGAATCAATTCTGATTAATCTATCCCTCTTCCTCACAGAGAAATGTAGATAGACTGTTTGAATCCCAGTCATCCAAGACAGGGGAATATAGAAGGACCAGAAGAGAGTGCTCAGTCGTAGATAAAATAGAAACTGTCCCCCCTGCAAAAGAAAACTACCTACTCATAAAGAAAAGGACTTTCCATCTTATGTCCAGCCCCCTGGCTTCCCAGACGATTAAGCCATCTATAAACTCACGCGGTGTGGCCTGACCAAGTCCAAATGCCTACGCCCCAGTCCATCCATAACTGATGAGAAACACGAAAGTCGTCAAGCTGGAGGCATGACAGAACCTTTTGCTTTCTTTTTCTGCAGGTTCGATCTTCCTTATTTGAACTGGCTAAGAAAACAAAGTTTAATTTATGTCGTCATGTCTTGGTGACCTTCATACTCCTGGTTATTATCAACTTGTTGGTGATCTTCATACCCTCCATGAAGGATATTTTTGGAGTCGTTGGTATGGCTTCCTGACCTGCCGCTTATTCTACAATAGCTGTTTAGAAAGTTAAGCTTTCACAATGATAACCTCAATTTTTCTTATTTTCCAGGTGTTACATCTGCCAATATGCTTATTTTCATTCTTCCTTCATCTCTTTATTTAAAAATCACAAGCCAAGATGGAGATAAGGGAACTCAACGAATTTGGGTATGTCTCATGCCGGCCACTCTCATTTTTCTAATTTGTTTTTCACTGAACTATGCCAGATAAATAGTCCATCTTCACCATCTGGTACTTACAGTGACCTCAAAAGGAGGCAGCCATCCTAGTGTTTGCTCATTTGGGAGATTTAAAATACCATATCAGGATCTTCTCCATTCCCTCAAAATATCTTCAGGTTGTGCTCCTTTTGTGTCAGAGTGGCCAGCCAAGAGATTAGACATTTATCATCCTGTGTCTCTCCAGGGTGATGCCTTGTTATTAGCAAGATCTGAAGTGGAAAGGGGCTCAAAACTTTTCTGCAGTCCACTGTTTCTGTATAGTCCCTGGTCCTGTAACTCCGTCCTTCAGCCCAGGGAACCTGCAGTGCCTTAATTGAAACAGCTGAGTTAGCATAGAGTCTTTTTATGATTTGACAGAAATGCTTTGGAGCAACAGACCTGGATTCAGAAACTACCTTTCTATATTGGAATTCTTGTTTCCAGGTCTGGTGAAGTTCAAGGGCATCTTGAAGGTGGTGCACTTGGAGACAGTGAGGGGAGCAGGGGTGAAGTGGCTGCTACATGAGTACCTTTTGGAGCACCATTATGTTTGGCCTCGGAGAAGGCTTTTCAGCCGCCCTCCCAGATAGTGTAAGCACTCTAATCGCACACGTTACCTGAGTCAGCAGACCCCAGTGAGGGGGCGTAGGCACGGGGGAACATCCCTGTGTATTTAGAGGAAGCATTGTTGATGCCACTGGAGCATCTGCTTCCCTAACAGGACAATCCCTAAAGCCGTAAATCTCAAATCCTTCTAAATCTGACCAGTGGGGGCTTCATGAGGATAGAGAGGGAGGAGCAGTCTTCTGGTCCTGGACTTCTGTTTTTTTTGGAGGTTTTTGATTAAATTTTGGCAGTAAACTTAAGATTCAGTCTGACAGTGGCGGAGACCTACTGATCATGAATTCTCTGGGCCCCTCCAGCCTTGCTCCCATTATAAAACCGCTGGGAGGATCTACCAAATAGCATTAGACAAGAGATCCAGTCCGTGTAGGGGCTCACTGGAAGTTACACCAGACTGGTGATGGTGAGCCTGGATCCAGCCCTCTCAACCCCACTCTCCGCCCCCTCCCCTTCCCATAGCTCTGTCTCCTCCTCCAGACTCCAGTCTGGCCTGCCATGGCTCTCATGCCGCTTCATCCTTCTCCCTGAATTTCAGCTCTCATTGCAAACTCCCAACGCCAAGCAATTTATAAGCCTGTGTTCTCCAGATTTTAGACTTTGTGACCTGCCCCTGGGCCTTCATCAACCCTTGAAATCACTTAATTTTGTATACCCATTTCCTGTCTCACTTGATCAAATCTACTCTGCTTTTAGATATCCTTTTAACACTTTTTCAAACAGAAATGTTTACCTGCCAGTGATAAACTAGGCTGGTTGATGAAATGACCTGTATGTTTTCTAAGAATGATCTTTTTTCTTTTTTTCATTTTCATCTTTAGTCTGAAAGAAGCTAGCAAGAGTGATACCCAGTCAGTTGTAGAGCAGATTCACTCTAAGATGACCATGAAATCAAAGAGCAGAATACAGAGGATGGGAATGCACAGCTAGTTTTTCTTAGGTTCCTATCCTTGGAGAATCAGGTGCACAAAACTTTAGAAAGAATCTCAGAGTTTGGTAATAGATGTAACAAACCAAATATGAGGGGACACAAAGAGAGAGAGAAAACATTTCTGTTTTTTCCCAGGTGTGCTTGGGAAATGTTTGCTTCCCTGAAAATAACCCTTGCCTTTCTGTTACTCCAGGCTGCCCTTTTCTTGGGTCTGGGGGTGTTGTTTTCCCTGGTAAGCATTCCCTTGGTCATCTACGACTGGGCCTACTCATCAAATGGTGACAAAGGCCACTGAGACCAGCTGAGAAAAGGAAGCAGTCAAGTTACCACGCATCAGCAACCCTTCATCACTTCTTTTGCAAGTTTACAGAAGCAAACAGAAATCTACAAGATACACAATGAAATAATACTTTGGTAGCAAAACAAGAGACCTGTTTCTATCATGGTTCATGCCCCTCCAGGATTGGGGATCAATTTTAAGGATTGTGGATTTTTTTTTGGTTCCAAATTTCATGCAATCATATTTTCCAGTACTTTTCACAGTTGATTGTTTTTCACTCTACTATTTTTTTGTGATTTCATCGTCTCTTAGAACTTTGAAGACATGATCACCCACCATGTTTATTTATTGTACATCCAGATTCTGAAATAATTTTCCTACTGATGTTCAGCTTATAATATCTGTACCTTTTTAGCAGAGAAAAGAATCTTGAATTGTATATATTTATTTTGCTTTACAGAAAAAAATGGTTTCGTAAATAATTTGCCTATTTTGGTTAATATAGCACATAGGGATAATCAGATGAGAGTCACAGGGCACATACCCTTGTTGGATCAGAGAATGCCCAATATTTGAGGCAGCTCTGGTTACCTGGCAGGCGAGCTTCAGCAGCTCGAGGCCTCGCTGGCACTCCATCCACTCCGTGCAGAGACCTTCTCTGGCGAGTGTTCTCAGCTCAGAAAGGGGTGGGAATGATTCTTACCTTGGTAAATATACTGAACTACACATCTGGGTTACCTAGCAAATGAAGTTTTGTTTCCCTCTTTGTGTTAAAGTTACTCTATATAATCTGAGTCAGCTTTTGTTGGGAAAGACCCACAACACCTTTATAACAAATTGAGAAGCAGGAGTCCTACAAAAAGATTGTCCAAAATGCATGAGGAAATATTTTTCAGATGCAGATAGCCTTCAGCCCTACATCTGTATTGTTGAAGGGGGGAAAACATTTTCTTAAATTATAAACCCAGAAGCTTCTACTCATGTCCACGAGCTTTTTGCACAGAAAATCATGTGTTTCTAACCAAGGGTGATCTAGGGAAAGTAAGTCCTGTTTTATATTAGGTACTTTAGGGGGGTCTTTAAAAGATTTGTTTTATATCTATGAAAGTGAAAGTGTTAGTTGCTCAGTTATGTCCACCTTTTTGCAACCTCATGGACTATAGCCCACCAGGCTCCTCTGTCCATGGACTTCTCCAGGCAAAAATACTGGAGTGGGTAGCCATTCCCTTCTCCAGGGGATCTTCCCGACCCAGGGATCGAACTGGTGTCTCCTGCATTGCAGACAGATTCTTTACTGTCTGAGCCACCAAGGGAACCCAATCCGCCTGCAGTGCAGAAGACCCTGGTTCCATCTCTGGGTTGGGAAGATCCCCTGGAGAAGGGAATTGCTACCCACTCCAGTATTCTTCCCTGGAGAAGTCCATGGACACAGAGGAGTCTGGCGGACTATAGTCCATGAGGTTGCAAAGAGGTGAACACAACTGAGTGACTAACACTTTGTATCTATAAATTTAGGTTATTGCAAATACAAGATTTTTGTACCTTAAATAAGCCTCATTCCTATTTCTTTTCCACTAGCCATCCATCCAGTCTTGAAAAAAGAGAAAGAGCCTTCAGAGGTGCTTTTGAGGACAGCGTGTGATGGAAGCACGGTGTACCTTTCTCCCCCAAGATGGGGACTTTGGTGTCAGTGCTGTCCCTCTCCTCATCCCCGGTCAAGGGTGGGCTGTCACTGCCCACCTGATGTGACCCACATGCGGGACAGAGTCGCTGACACTCTTACCCCAGCCCCTCTCCTAAAAGCAAGTGAAGGAAATTCCAGAGAGCTTGAAAAAGAAGAGAAGTTTGGGGCACAGTAGCTTGAAAAGGCATTGGGGGCAGGACAGGAACCCAGCACCACATCCCCCCCTACGCTGGACCATCACCTGTGCCTGGATTGTCTGTATCACACAATGAGAAGCATGTGTACCCTGTGACCTAGTCTCTTGAAACAGGGCTTGTGTTATATCTACATCCTGGTTGAACTCAACAAACACGTCAGTTCACTGAACAGATATCTTATCCAGAGATAAGTAGCCTCTAACCACAGACTCTTGGCAGAGTTTCGAGGCACTTAACTCTGGGCTCTTCCTCCCGCACTGAGATCCCCGGAGGCCTCCACACTTACCGGGAGTAACACGGAACTGTCCCCTCCCCTTGACAGACTAACATCTCATACAGAAAGCAAGCATCAGGATCATTCCTGACCCCCTTGGGGGAAAAGGAAAGTTTATTTTCTGCCTGTCTTAGTAGTATCATCATAGCTTCTAATGTCATGCTCCAGAATTACATCCACAGACATCAGAGTTCAGGTATTTAGAAATGAGTACCTACCTATGTATGAATTCCTAACCCAGTGAAACCCACAGCCATTTCTGTCCTTCTCAGCAGTCTTTCATAGATAAGCAGAAGAGAAACTCCACCAAACAAGATGCCTGGCCCTTGGAGCTTGCCCGGGGCACCCAATCATGTAATAGCTATATAGTGGATGACCCTCCATTAAAAAAATACAAATTTTATTTGCAAGCTTTATTAGGCTACTTCCTATTTTCTTCATTAACTTATAAAAATTCACTTTCTGCCTATACAGTCAGTTGAGAAGATTATCATTAGGTCTTGGGATGTGTAGTGATATTTTTGGATCTCTGGATTTTATGTGTCAAAACAGGGGATTTTTTTTTATTATTTAAAATATGCTTATTTAGAGGAGGCTTGGGATGTGTAGTGATATTTTTGGATCTCTGGATTTTATGTGTCAGAACAGGGGATTTTTTTTTTATTTAAAATATGCTTATTTACAGGAGGCACTTGTTGACATCTGCACTACAGGTTTTTAAAATCTTCTTTGTATGTTTATTTAAGTTTATTGTTGACTGAGTATAATAGACCCTACTGTAATTTGTCAGATGTCAGTGATTAATTTCATCATTTGTGTGGGATTAGCTGTAAAGTGTGTTGTTCTTATTATTCTTGTTCAGAGTAGTGAACCCATAGCCAAAAATACATGTACCACAGATGTTAGGTAGAATTTAAATCACACAGTCAAGTGCTGTACAAGTTTTTCTGCTATGTGAGTAGACTAAGGAATTTTATACCTTAAGCCTTTGGGAGCAGCACGTTTTCCTTGGGTAGATAGGATCTCAGCACCAGTGAACAGTGCTAGGTTGACATTTTGGAGTATGACCTGTTCTCTAGTTGTTATAACATAGCACACTGTAAATCCTTAATTTCCTTCATGTTACTTATTGGACGTGAGGACAGCAGCATATGTACAGGGAAGAAATGCAGTCTTGTTAATCATAGGCAGTCCCCAGTTTATAAGCTAGTGCAGAACCCCAACTTACAGGCAGAGTGTAGTGTAGAATTGTCCATTGGTTGTTTGCAATCTGGAATGTATTTTCCTTCAGAAACCAAGTTATACATGATGATTAGGCCCCCAGGCCACCTAGAAAAGATGATTGAAACTCATCGTTTAGCTGAAACAGGATACTGTATTAGCAAGATTGCTAAGGAATCTAAGCAATGAATCTGATTTTGTTCCTAGCAGATGTTTGTTCAGAGTTGCCGAGAATCCGTCCCTCGTGGTGTTAGTGGAATCTGGATCAACCGCTCCAATCTCACACTGCCTGTTGGGTGGTGGCACCAGAGTAAGCCACCAATTAGAAGTGCCCAGCGTGGCCTACAGCTGGGTCCCCAGCAAAGGAAGGGGACCAGGTCCAGGGCAACCAGAGACCTCGTAGGAAGAGGAGGGTTAAGGAGGATGAGGGGTCCTCTGGTGGGCCGTACATCACCAGGGACATTCTCCGCTGCTACCCCTTCTTTTCTCTGGAGGCTCAGGCCTGGCCTGCCTGCTTCTGTTTGTAGGACCTTTTGCACCTGGAGCTTATCTCCTTCACTCCCACTGCCATAAATGATGTCACTGCGTAGCTTCTCTTGCATGCCAGTCGCTGAAGCCAGCACACAGCACTTTTAATGGATTTAGTGCTAGGAAACCATAGTTTAACTGCCCAGTAGTGAAAGAGGGGTAAAAACCTCTCTACCCACTTTTCCTCTCATATTTGCAGACCCTGTTGAGAAAGACATACATGGGTGATGGCCATGGGGCTTGGGGTGAACTAATGGCTGTGATAAGGTGTCATAGTATTTCAGAGGACACCTCAGACAGTCACCCCAGAATTAGCTTTTTTCTAGAGTTGGATTCAAGCCTCCAAGTCAGTGTTCCTCAAAGTGGGTATCCCCAGATCAGCAGCATCAGCATCACCTGGGAACTCGATGGGATGCATGTACTCAGGCCTCAGTCCAGACCAAATAAGATCAGAAACTATGGGGGTGGAGGTCCACAAACTGTGTCTTATAAGGCCTCCCAGTGATCTTGGCACAGGTCAAGTTAGAGACCCACACAGAGCAAATTCGTCTCTCCTTTTTCTCCCCATTAGTCCTATCTGTCATTCTCAGATGGTGATTCCTGGGACTTGAGGGAAAAGAAGTGGGAGCCAGGACTTAGGGAGGGGAGGAATGCAGCCCCCTTCCCACTGGAAATGCTGGTACAGGTGCATCATTGCAAATAAGGCTGCCTGCACGTGGCCTGAGACACAGTAAGCTTACAGTTTTGGCAGGTGTGAAGAAATGAAAATGAGGTGTTTTAGGTGTTTTTTTTTTCTTTTTTGAAATCTATTAGAAGATATACCCTTTGTTAGAGGAAATACTGAATTTAGGTCAGAAGTTTCTCTAGAATGATTCGGTTCATCATGTGATGATCAATCCTGTCCTCCCTTTAAAGGGAGTTCTCTGCTGAAAGGGGCTACAGACTGCTTTGACAAGGTTAGCGCTCCACTGTGTTTCAGCGGGTCAGAGTGCTGGATGGCACATCTTGTTGGGTCGGGGGTGGGGAGGAGATCGGTGAAATGATCAGGAATTTGATTTTATGCCTTTAGTGCAAAAGCCATCAGTTTCCCTCTGTTTTTCAATGTAAGTTG